GATGTCATGAAGGTAAACATGAATGATCACACAATCTTCTTCTTCAAGACATGCTTGCAATAAGCTCAACACTCACATGACCAATCTTTGGATAATTCCTTAATAGCACCTTGGTCAACACATAAACTCCTTGAAACCAACACATGGACTTCAAGAAATGCCTATGGACAAATTCTTCAAATATAACTCAATGCAACCATTAGTCCAGAGAGAATGTCATCAACTACCAAAACCACACATGGGGGCACCGCATGTCCTTTCAAAGCATGAAACTCATCACCGCCCGGCGATGATCGGTGGTACTCTGCAGTGGAGGTTGAGTGGTGTGGGTTCGCGACCCTTGAGACTCGACCCTGACAACGGAGGCTCGAGGCGGTAATAGCGGCGAGGCGTGCGGTATGCATAGGGCATGGAGACGGGCCAGGGCTCTGGTGGTCATACATGTGATGAGACAACTGCGAGTTTGACTCGGGATGATTACAAGCAATGGTGAAATTCCTTCAAGTTTCAGACAGATGGTCAAGAAAGGAGCGATGATGTTGAGTTCAGGTAACTCTTATGTGTGACTCCCAATATGTGAGTTGTTCACTTTCACGCAGGCTAGTGATCAATGTGTGATGACGTTGGACTGATACTCTGGAAGTTGGGAGCGCAAACTAGAGTAATGTGGAACTTGATTTTGCTCGAGTGTTGACTATACTCAAGAAAAGAAGGGACTACAAGTTGCAGGTGGAGTCTTATGGAGTCTTTGGAGTAGCAGCGGTACTCATGGGATAAGCTCAAGTCCAATGTACATGGAAGTTTGACGCATTGACAAATTCAAGATGGTGGAGAATATTCGCCAAGGTGGAGTTTGTTAGAGTTGTGTCGAATATAATGTACAAGTAGGTTACAGTTGGACTATGAGTTGTATTGTATTTACATAGGATGTGGAGTCGTGTCCTAATAGGACACTTGTATCCTAAGCCTCTCATATATAGCGGGGGTAGACACACGATGTAATATATGCCAACATAATGGCACTGGAACGCAGGGGAAGCCGGCGGCATGTGCCGGTGTCCAGGACGACCGGGTGCGGTATTGTAGCGGTGTCACGGGGAGGAGCGCCCGTAGTCAAGCCCCGGGATGTAGCCATATCGGTGAACCTCGTTAACAAATCTCGGTGTCGTGCTCGTGTGATTGCTTGGTCCTCGGATGATCAACGGTATGCCTCGGATTTATTCTAACAATAATATTCAATTATGAAGAAATCTTTGTCTTTCACCTTCATATCTAGACTAAAAAAATATGCTACACTTTGCTTCGCTTACCAATTGTCTCGAGTTTGCATAGTATCCATAAAAAATCTGTCTCAATTAGGTTACATTATTCGAGTCATCCTTCACAAGAATTAACGAATCATCAACAAAAAGTAAGTGTGATGCCGATGATGCATTTGTGCACACCTTAACTCTCACAATCCTACCGACCTTCCCTCTATGAGCCAATAAACTTGAAAAATCTCCTGTGCGCAGATAAAATAAATAAGGTGATAAGGGGTCCCCCTGCCGGAGCCCGCTTTTAGGCATGAAATCGTTTGTGTTCTTGGTCATTGAAGCGAACTTTATACTTTACCAAAGTATTACATGCCATGATCATACCAGCAAAGTCATCATGAAAACCCAATCCCAACATCATTTTTTCTAGGAACCCGCATTCAACTCTATCACACGCCTTATGCATGTCTAGTTTCATTGTACGATTTCCCCGACTTGTTATGCTTTAATGTATGGATATATTCATAGGCTAACACGATACTATTAGTAATTAACTTGCCTGTAACAAAAACACTTTGCACATGGGAAACTATATCATCAAGGACATGCTTCAATCTAAGGGTGATCATCTTTGAAATTATCTTTGTAAAGGACTGTACATAGGCTGATTGGCCTATATTGTGTGATACATTCTGGATTCACAACTTCTGGAATGAGCTCAATAACTATATGTTCCACCCCATAGGAATCAATTTATTATTCACAACATCAAGAACCTCTCCTGTGATTGAATCACCTAGGATGTGCCAACATTTTTTGATAAATATAACATGCAAACCATCAACCCACAGAGCTTCCACGTCTCATATAGAAAATAAGGCTTTTCTTAACTCTTCAGCCAAAGGTTTTGACAAAGACCCATTCATATGTTCATTCACTCATGGCACCACTTTGTCCAATAATGCATGATTTATCTCATCAATTTTAGCAGCTCTGAAACAAGTGGGTTCAAATATGCATTACCTTCATGCAAGTTACCCAGATTATCCTAAGCCTTTTTTCTCTCTATTTTCTTGTTGTGACAAATTGATGGAAAAAGAAGTATTCCTGTCACCAAACTTCATCCAGTCCACACAACTTCTTTGGAGATGGTACATCTCCTCCTACTGCAATAGTTTCTCAATCTCCTCTACCGCCCCTCTTTGCTTTGCAAGATATGAATCATTTAGTGGCCGTCACGACAACTTCTAATCTTCGCCAAGCTCCTCTTAATCTGCTTTTTGTGCTTCTCATGACCCTTATGTCTCACTGATGTAACTGTTTGTGAACCACAACCAAATTGCCTGCCAAATTATTGCTTTGAACTCTATTTCTTGCTACCCCAAGCCCTTGGACCATTTTCTTGAACCGGGTTTCCTTTGGCCATTTAGCCTTGAACCTCAATACCCTTGGTTTGCATCCTTCTTGGGCTATTTGGGCTTTTGTATTCATAAGTAAGGGCCTATTATCCGAGTTTACATAGCTCAAGTGGGAGAGAGCTGCTTCTGGGAATTTATTCATCCACTCCTCATTAACTAGTGTTCGATCTAGTCGCTCCCTTAATAAGATCTCTATGCCATGTGAACTTGTATCAAGTGTACTCAAAATCTAATAGTTCTCAATCTGCTATCGCCACCATAAAAGCTTGCATGTATTGATGTAGACACGGGTTTCCTCCTCCTTTCTCCAAAGTAAATACAAATTCATTCATATCACCAATTACCAACCAAGGAAGATTATTGACTACATGTAGATCTCTAAGACAAGCCCATGCTTCATGTTTGTTTTCCCATTTTGTCTCTCCATGCAAACCTATCATCCGCCAAACATTATTCCGACCCATCGGACCCTGTGCAAGTGGGAGCTACATTCACCGACCTACCATTATTCCAACATACACATCTATAGAAAGTTTGTTTTCTATCGAAGGGTAACCATAGCCTCATTATTCTAAAGCAAGAGCAAGTTGCCACTCCTGCCATCACTACACACCACTTCCTCATGATCTATCTTCATACGTCTTCGATCACTTCCGTAGCTTAATCATCCAAATGAGTTTCAGGCAAGAACACAATATCTGGGCCTTGTATCCATTTAATATCCAACAATGCACTTACAACCGGGTTCCTCGAAAGCCTCCGACAACTATAGCTTAGGAATTTCATTGTTCCCGAGCAACTGCCATCCCAAAGGCCGCCGATATAAGGTCTTTTTTTTCTTTTTCTCCCTCACCTCCCCTTCACGTGGTATCACCGATCCTGGAGCATTGATATTTGAAACCATACTATCAAGAGCCAGACCATCATACCCCTTTTGTTTCTTTTCTTTTGCACCTTTTGAGGAGTTGAAGCGGACTCCGATCCATATTCCCACCAAATAAGTCCACTTTTTTGCGACCTTTGATGACACATCCACTAGGATTATAGCTCCAGCCAAGCTTTGTGATTCTCTGACCCTCGAGTTAGAGTTCATAGCCAACCTTTTCTTTGCTGAAGGAACCATACCAGTCATGTTAATATCCTCATGATGGTCATTCTTTTTTCCCATGTCCCGTCAAAAGATTTTGAGGTTCTTTGTATCCAAATTCTGCATTCCATCTCCAGCTACCTTGACCATCATAGGTTATATCCTCTTCTCCGTTACTACTCCGATTCCGATCTAGAACACCTCCTCTTCCAAAAACCCCTGCCAAAAGGAGCACCTCTCCTTCCTCTTCTGTTACCCCTTCCAGAACCACGACCACCATCCCGATTTCTTCATTCACCAGCTAGAATAAATTCCCCTTATTCAAACTTGGACAGAACGCATTATCCCTGTTCCACATTCCTTATATCAATGACCTATAAGTCCATACTGGTTGCAAAAAATTGGTAGCTTCTCCTATTTTACTTGGTACCAGTCCTTTTTCCTAGCCCTAGTAGTCGAAACAAATCTTTCCAATTTTTTATTTACATCCAGATTTACTTTCACATGAACAAAGGGTCCAACATAACTTGTCTGAAGCTGATTTTGCACTTTCAGGATCTTTCCCATCTTTCTACACGTTTCCTTGATCACCGCTTCATTCAAATAATTATCTGGCAACTTTAATACTCTTGCCATACAACATTTTTTCCCCAAAGACACCGATCTAGGGTTCATGAAACCGTCATATTCCATCAAGATCATTGTCCAATTTCTAAACAGGCATGGTCCATTAAGCATTGCCGTGTTCTAGTCCCCCAAGCATCCCTGGGTCATTTGAAAAAGAATTATATATACATAGCAAAAGTGTACAAACATCACATGGCATATGTGGTAAGCCATCTTAAAATTTATACATTACAATTATATTTATTTTATAGAAAAAGAAGGTGGGAAATCCGTGGGTCCCGTTGCGTTTCTATACCTTCTCTTTTCTTCTCCCCTTCCTCTCCAGTTCTCCCCTGCACACCCTCCTCGCGCCTCTGCAACTGCAAACTCCAATCTGTTCTCACATCTCTCGCCGCCGCCTCGCCTCACCTTCCCTCCCAAAGCTGCCTCTAGGGTTTCGCCTCGGGTTCCTCCCTTCCGCCTCTCCTCGTCTCGAGCAACTCGCCCGTCCACCCGCTGCCCAGCGGCTGCGTAGACGTCGGTGGCCGCGGCGGCCCAGGCGTAGCCAGAGCTAACTTTTCTCGTGGGCGGCGCTTCGGGGGAAGGGAGGCCGGTCGGCGAGCTGCGGTGGCCATGTCGCAGACGAACTGGGAGGCTGACAAGATGTGAGGATTTTGTTTCTTTTCGTATTCATTCTGTTATTCGAGGCATGTTTTGGCTGGGCGACGTTGTTGTTGCTTAATCTGGGTGGCGATTATTTGAGCAAAAATCACGGGAGGGGCTACGAAGTTTGAACTGAAGTAGACGAGAGGAGACCCGTGGTGCGGTGGTGGCGCGTTTGGCCGCTAGGGTTTCAGGAGTTTTTTTTTTGCGGGTTTGGTTTGAGCTTTGTTTTACCAGTTGAAGGACCTACTGTTTTGACTATATAGCTCTTCAGTGATAATCTGTCGTGATGATCTCTCAAATATCAGAGAACTGATTTGGAGATTTGAGAACAGCAGGATAACTTGTCCATCAGATTTGAAATACCAGTAGTAATAGTTGACCTATCCATTATGGATATAAGACAAGGGAGTTCGATTTGGTTCATGGGCTGCGGTAATCTTCTTCAGGAAGATAGTATGGAGGGAAGTACCAGCGAATAAGTTGATTCCTTACACATCAATGACTAGATTTGAACTCACATCTGAGTTTCAACATTTCTTGTATGAGGAAGGAGGTGAAATATCTCATTCTGCTTCTGGGAACTAGACCTACTAATACTTTTCATGATTTTTCAGTGTTTCACGGAAACGTTCACTAGCAAACCTAAGCATTTGTCGTGCATAGGATCACTCTAGGTGACGATGTGCTAGTGTTAAAATAAAAGTTGAAGAAACAAAATGAATATACATTGATGCAGCATAAATGTGCCATTCAAGTCTTAATGTTTTATGCCCAAGCTGGTTATTCACCATACTGGTTGCGGGTCTTTTGAATGGTATTGTACTTGTAGTTGAAGAATTGTATTCCCTCTGTCCAGAAATACTTGTCGGAGTAATGGATGTATGTAGACGTATTTTAGTTCTAGATACATCTGTTTTCATCCATTTCTGCTACAAGTAATTCCGGACAGAGGGAGTATGTCTTAGTGCATTTAACCTTCACCCTAAGGACTAATGTTTAACTGCTTGCTGAAACAGGCTCGATGTTTACATATACGACTATTTTATGAAGAGAAATTTGCAGGCAACTGCAAAGGCCTTCCAATCAGAAGGGAAGGTTTCTTCAGATCCAGTTGGTATGTGCTTCTCAGCAAGTTTAACTACTTATGTCCTGGTTTTTGCAACCTTTCCCTTTAAACATTTGTTCATGAAAACTATTGCTCACTTTTTAGGCTGTGTTTCCATGCAGCAATTGATGCACCTGGTGGGTTTCTTTTTGAGTGGTGGTCAGTTTTTTGGGATATATTCATAGCAAGAACAAACGAGAAGCATTCAGATGTTGCAGCGTCATATATTGAGGTAAACAGTTATGCATTTGATTATCCTTATTATGAGGGATCTACTGAAGAAACTTAAAATGAACTAAAAATCCTATGTGACCTGTAATCTGATGTGAAATGTCACTAATTTTAGTCTGCAGGGCCTGCGAGGTCCTTTGGTTCACTACAATTTGTTTGCTGTTACAGCTAAATGACACTTAGGAAGTGTTTGGTTCGTGAGTCAGTAACCAATTTTACTGCAAGGCCTGTGAGGCCCTTTTTGTTTACTAAAATTCGTTTTGTTCATTTTCTATTGCTTTTAAATAACACTTAGGAGGTGATCCATTTACACCGGTGTTTGTTTTGATTGGGTCATAATCAGTTGCCGCAGTATCAGCTCCCGGCCTAGTGGAATTCTGTTTCCGCCCGAGATCCGGTTTAATCGCATCTGAGCTCCTGTAAGAAAAAAAGGAAAATCTCCCATACGAGTTTATCCCCAGGAGACCACGATGTATTCTCCACGATCTCCCCTGGCTACAGGGTGCCAACGTCGCCACAAACCGGTCGCATCATTCTTCCCTTCCATCAAACTGCCAGACCTGATTCATTCTCCATGACCCCCATCTCATGCAATTGGATCTTAGCGACGCCAGAGTTTTGGTCGAGGCATGGGGGAGACGTGAAATCGTGGCTGGGCTGCCACTCAGGAGATCTTTTGGGTTTTGATTGATGCGCTCTAGATCGATTTTTTTCTAATCTGCTATGTCTTATGAGGGCTGATTCAATTTTTGTTCTTCTCCCATGTTCTATTTTTGTTTTTTTTCCGCAGATGAAATCCCTTCTAATCATTGAATTTTTTGTAAATTGGTGCTGGACGTAAATGATTGAAAATACCAATTTGTATCCTTCGTTGTTTGGTGGTTTGAATTCCATTTGTGGATGTTCTTCCTAGTTGCATCCTACAGGTTAAAGAAGACAGACCTAGCTTTGCAATTAGTTAACGTCATATTTCATGCTAACCAAACAAGATTGAACTTTCTTCCATTCCATTCCATTTACATTAACAGTGTGATACTGTTTTTCAACCACATTTACCTTCCCATTACTTCTGACGAACTAAACAAGTTCTTAGTTCTTAAACTTCTTGTTACATGTGTTACATCCACTATAGCTGGGAAATTCCGCCGTCGTCACATATGTTTTATTTTACATATTAATAATACAATGTTGTTTTCTATGTTTTCGCTTGTCAAGGCCACTTTGTTGCATATTGATCTAATTAATTGCATTAGAAAATCACAATTTTATTTGTGCTGCATCAATAGCTGTGATTCTGAGGCATCTTTTGTCCTGGATTGGTAGTTCTAACTCAGCTAGAATGTGCTGCTCTCTTTTCAGACGCAGCTCATGAAAGCCCGGGACCAACAACAGCAGTTACCTCAACAGCGGCAGCAGCAACCACAGCATATACAAATGCAACAAATGTTGTTACAAAGAGCCGCACAACAGCAGCAGCAGCAACATCAGCAGCAGCAGCACCAACATCAGCAGCACCAACAGCAGCAACAGCAGCAGCAGCAGCAGCAACAGCAGCAGCAGCAACAGCAGCAGCAGCAGCAGCGTAGAGATGATTCTTATCTTCTTAATGGTACTTCAAGTGGACTTTCTGGAAACAATCCTTTAATGCGACAAAACCAAAGTACCGCAAATGTTATGGCGACCAAAATGTATGAGGAGAGGTTAAAGTTGCCTTCCCAGAGAGACTCTTTGGAAGACACATCTATGAAGGTATCACTGTAGTTACATCCATTGTTCTAAATTCTTTTAGTTGACTCTAAAAGGTTTTCATTTATGTTTTCCTCAAAAGAAAAATAAGTTCATTTGTTATTACTCGTTATGACATTGAAACTTTCAGTTGCAGCAAAGGTATGGAGAAAATGCTGGGCAACTACTTGATCCGAATGAAACATCACTGCTGAAAGCAGCTGCAAGTGGACAATCCTCAGGGTACTCGCTGAACTTGTAAATTATTAAGTGCTTTAACAAAAAATGTTCTGCATACAGAAGTAGCTGATGACATTTTAGCATTCTTGTTAAAAGTTACAAAATCATCATTTAGATGCCACACTTAGACTTGCTGGTGTGGCTGGCTATCCTTGCTGCCTTCTCCTTAGAGCCTAGATGTTAATAATCCTGGACGTGCATCAATTGTAAGGTTTTCAATGTGTATGGAGTGTAGATGCGTACGCCCTATGAAAGTAGTTTCCGGGGGAAAATCTGAGAAGGAGAGGAAATTTGGAAATGGAAATTTGCAAAACGGAAACGGGAACATAATTTTTTATGCGGAAACGGAAACAAAAACAGAAGGGCATTTTCCGACGGAACAGACATGGAAACGGAACTCTCTGTTTCCGTGAATATAGAATTTCCGTTCTTACTATGGGCCTATGGCTGTTTTGTAGCTCAGCCACCAAACAACACACAATGACACAGTGAGCAGAATGGCTCAACTTCTACTACCACACACGTACTCAAATAGACCCTATACGCAATTTTCCAGTACTACTACAATACTATGCTAATTCACTAACCTAATTATGGGTGTGTTTGGTTTGTGCCTCAGCTAGCCCCACCAAAATATTGGCATGACCAAAGCAAGGGCATGACCAAAATTTTGGTAAGGTGTTGTTGTTTGGTTTATAGCCATTGTTACATGCTAATTTTTTGGCAAAATTGCTAGACTTTCGTTTGGTTTGGAGCCAACTGGGTTAGTGCATGGCAACATGTGCTGGGTTAGTCCTTAGTTTGATTCTAGTTTACTTTCAATCTTCAGCTAATAAAACAGTGAGACACATAAAACACTACATGGCCTTCCCGTAATAAGAAAAAAAAGAAGGAAAAAACAAAAAGTATTAATAGGGCCAACGGGACTAAACTCCACGACATTGCAAACGCAAGTATACCCGGGATAACAAGAAAAAAGGAAACACAATTAGGAAACAAATTGCTGTAATTAGTAAGAGGTGAGGGCTGCTTTGGATTACGGAGGCGGGACGGGCATGCACGGCGCGCGTGGATCGAATCTCACACAGAAAAAAGTGCCGCAGATAATTACGGAGGCAAACACCCAATATAATCAGGTAGTTATGCGATGGCGCATGATTCAGTTAGCATTTATCTGTCCGGATAATACGCCTGCCAATCGAACAAAGCGTACTCATGAAGTATGAAAGAGAGGGCACCGAAGTCGCCAATTTTTTGGCGAGCGTTTTCTGCGCCGACGGCGCGCCAACGAATTGGCGAGAATAACATGGGAAGACCCAGGGCGTGCTGGGCAAGCCAAAGTTTTGGCATCAATCCAAACGTTAGCCAAATCATACGGGCACGCCAATATTTTGGTGTGGTTGTTGTTGGTTGTAAAGCAAACACACCCTATATTACTTTGTAGCCATGTTAACAATTGATCAATTTATGGTTAAAGCGTGTTTAAGTTCCAATCAACACCTGCTTTTGTTGCCGTGTCCACTCCGCATTTGTTCCCGCTAGTAACTGTTTCCATATTCATTTCTGGGGTTTCTGTATCCGTTTCCGCTTCCGCAAAAAAAAAAAAAAACCGAAAACAAATGTGGTAGCACCCAGTTCCGTCCGTTTCTGTTCCGTTTTCATCCCTATATGGAAGCACATACTGTTTCTTTATTAGTCAGACCAAATGATATATTTTATTCCGTATTTTTTTTAATATGTTAACATTTGCCCCCTATATAGGCAAATTTTGCATGGTTCCATTGGTGGTTTGTCGGGCACTATGCAACAAATTCAGGGTAGAAGCCCCCAACTTCCAGGGCATGCTCAGGTTAGTCCCTTGTGTCTTCCTGATTTATCTATTATCTGTCAGCCCTAACTATACTCAGCTGTGAAAACAAGAAAAAACTATTTATGTGTTCTTTTAGCAGAGTATCAAGACAGAGATAAATCCCATTTTGACACCTAGAGCTGCTGGTCCTGAGGGGTCATTCATGGGTCTACAAGGTAATATTATTATTCTGCTCCAATGAATTACTATTCTCCACTACTCACGTCATTTATTTTTTCATTTTTCCCACTATTCTTATTTCCAATTTTGTATTTTTCTTAGTTGGGTGACCAGTTTTGTGAGGCTAATTTAGATGCATTCTTAACAGGATCTAATCAAGCTGCCAATAATTTGACTCTCAAAGGATGGCCACTCACAGTAAGGGTTTAGTTTATGACAAAATTTTACTATTTTGTGCTTCTTCATCAGTGTTGTATTCAGGGTTCAAATTTGTTGCGGGAGATTTCAGGCCTAAGGGTTTTCTGTATAAAGTGTCTGAATTTAATTTCAGGCCTAAATCTTTTTTAAAATTGAAACGGATTTTTTTCCAGTTACGACAGTAACCAGTCAAAAACTGCAAGGGCCCCAACTTGAATCCTACTCCCTCCGTTCGGAATTACTTGTCTCGGAAATGGGTGTATCTAGAACTAAAATACGTCTAGATACATCCATTTCTGCGACAAGTAATTCCGAACGGAGGGAGTAGTTACGTACACTCCACTTATGATTAATGTCCTTCTATTCAGTATTGATTCAGCTTAGACTGAATTCCCCTACGTTGATGAAACCTGACGATTATTTTATGGGACACACACTTGCCATAGTTGGTAATAGCATAGTATTTTTTGTAGTACTTAACTGACCAAGGGAAGCATCTAAATTTGCGTTGATCTGTTTTGTGTTTACCTGGTACATTATGACCATGTCTGTTCTTTCTTCTGTTGATTTGCACAATTTGATATTGCCCTAGCGGATCTCACCTTTATGCTATCATATCCCGGACCTTGTCTATGGCTCTCTCTGACCCCTCTCTTAAGTAATTTTGTGTGGTTTACGTACAGTTAAAATATAGTGGTATCACAGACAATGTCATTGCAAGCAATTTGTGGAACAAAGGCTAGTTTTGTACTCCCTCTGTTTCATAATGTTGGGCATATATATTTTCTGTTTTATAATGTTGGGCATATAGTTTTTTCAGAAAGTCAAACCTCACAAATTTTGACCAAGTTTGTGGTGAAAAACATTTACATCTAGAATGCCAAACATATACCATTAGATTCATCATACGATGTAGTTTCATATTTTATACATTTGGTATTGTAGATATAAATAGTTTCTCTATAAACTTGGTCAAAGCTTGGAAAGTTTGACTTTTCAAAAAATCTATATCGCACTACATTATGGAACGGAGGGAGTATTTCTTTTCCAATATAATGTCAAATAGCAAATATGTGATTTGACATCTGCTAGTAAGGATGCTAAATTTTAACCTTGTTTTGACATGCATTCTGCTTTGTTTATTTCAGCAGGGACTTGAGCAACTTCGGTCTGGAATTCTACAGCAGAAGTCATTCATGCAGAATCAACATCAATTGCAACAACAGATCCAATTTCTGACTCCACAACAACAGCAGCAGCTTGCGTTGCAGGCGCAGCAAAATATGGCTTCCCCAACATCTAGTGATGTTGACAGCAGAAGATTGAGGATGATGTTTAACAACAGGAATGTAGTTCTTGGGCGGGATGGGCAGACCACAAGCGGTGGAGATATCATTCCAAATATTGGCTCTCCTAGTCAAAGTGGTGGTGATATAGACATGCTAATAAAGGTAGACCTTTTCATTTTTAACCGAGTGTTCATTTTCTTGTATTTTCTCCACTAACAGGTTTAATTTTTCTCCTCGGTGAAATTTTATCTTTAATTTTTAATCGTGTCGAGTGCTTATTGTATGAGGTAAGGCAACTCCTGTTCCATGATAGATGGGGGGTTTGATCATAGAAGATAGAACATCATGGCAAAATGTCATCATCTCAATCTGTTCATAACGTATTTTTGTTGCCTGATATCATATTTTGGCATTTTCTGCAATGACAAAACAATGAGTGTGAGTTATTTTATATTCGCCATTTTACCTGATTGCCTAAACATCTAATTCCCCATAAGGTGTTTGGCATGGTAAGGCCAATATTTTAATAGTGCAAAGACAACTCATAATGTTCATAATTTTTTCTAGCTCCTGGATTTTTACTTTTATGGTATTGATTTTGCGGTTCTCTATCTTCCAAGTCTGTTTTATTCCACTCATATGTGTTATGCTTCCCTTTTGATATAAGATGACCTAATTTTATGTTACATTTGTCTTTGATGATTCAACTTGTAGATATGCCTTTGGGTTATTCTTCTAGCCTTTTTTTTTCTGCTGCCATGTTCTTATGTAGAATTTTCTGTTTAGTAGAAGAAAATTGCTAATGCACACCACCACCAGCAGCAACAGCAACAACTATTACAACAACAAAGCAATAGCCAACAGCAGCACCATCAGGCTGTCTCTAGTCAGCAGTCTCAAAGCTCAAATCAGCTTCTCCAACAAGAAAAGCCAGGAACTGGAAATATGCCTGTTGATGGGGGCATGCCGAATTCTTTTGGGGCCACCGATCAAGTAAACTTTTGCAGCACACAAATGCCTTTTATGATTATTTTGCATTAATCATTAAACCTAAAGTCCTCCTGTTTATAGTATACATAAGTTCTGAATGTGCTGATAACTTTCTTTCAAATCTTCCTGCCAAATAATGTATTTTCACACAATATAATATTAGTAATAACTGAGCTAAGTTTGCTGTGGTACATGATCTGGCCATGCCTACACCACTGTGTCTAGCTCCATGATCCATCTTCTAGGGTTTATAAAAACATACAATTGTATTCTTTGCTCTGCACTACAGTTCATTTATCTATAGCACTAAATCAACTGAGCTGTTACTGCTCCTTGTTTCCCTTACTGTTACTCTTGATCTTCCATTTTTTGTCGTTGTTGATGGTTTTAGATCTACTTCCCAGCAGTGACAAAAATATGACCAACCAGCTAGACCTCATCAGACTGGTAAAATTATATCAGTCCAGAAAGTGGTGCTTTCAGACTAGTAAAGATGTAGTGCAGAGCAAAGAATACTGTAAAAGTATATCAGTCCGGAAAGTGGTGCTTTCAGACTAGTAAAGATGTAACATGATATTAGTGTTCATATAACACCAGAGAAATACAGTACTTCGACAAGCAAATGTGTAAAGAAAACATAGCAAACTGAAATGGATCATAGGAGACTTTCGGTAACCTCTTGGTTATAGGCTACCGGTCTCTCCCCGGTCAACTTTAAAAAATCGTTGTTTCATTTTTGCCTCCCACTGCTTTAGATTAGTGAAGTGACCGATACACTAGTTCTCAGTTCATTTACACAAACAATACTATTTGTTGTTCAGTCAACGAAGAAAAGAAAGAAGCCTGGCTCTTCCTCGGGTAGAGCTAATAGTTCAGGAACTGGAAATACTGCTGGCCCGTCTCCAGGTTCTGCACCCTCGACACCTTCCACTCATACACCAGGAGATCCGATGCCAGTACCACAACTTCAGCAGAATGGTGTTTCAGCAAAACCCTTGGCAATGTTTGGCTCTGATGGCACTGGAAGCTTGACATCTACCGCAAACCCACTGGTATTCATATGTTTGATCGATTTTTTCTTTCTTTTTGGCAGTATAATAATAAAAATGCTTCATTACAGGGTGATGTGGACCGTTTGCTGGAAGAAGGATTGGATGAAAATGTTGAATCTTTTCTGTCACAGGATGACATGGATCCCAGGGATACCTTGGGACGCTGCATGGATGCCAGTAAAGGTATGCTTTTTAGTCCTGCTGATAACTGGTCCTTGTCAAGCTCAATCTGTGTATTCTGTTACTTGTGACCGAGGTAATGTAGCTTGATAAATAGCCCTCATTGCTGATCGCATACCTATTTTCGGTACATTGTCCACAATCCTTATTCTAAGAACCACAGTGCTAAAGATAGCCAGATGTCGTGGCTGCTAGGTATTGTGTAGACATAGGTTGAGTCGAGAGAATAACTGGCAGAGTTTAAATTGCTTGTTCTTGCTTGCCTCAAACATAGATACATGGCATCCTTATATAGTTGGATGCTAAGGCCCTTTTCCTCCCATAAACAATATGGGCTCCTAATAATCTAGATTCCTTTATTAATCCTGAGCTTCATAATACATTACTGTTTCCTAAAAGCACCCCTCTTTTGGTTTGCTTGCTGTTGCATGTCCTTGATCATGTGATCTCCTGCTACTGTTGACCATCTTGCTAGTTCGCTACCACTGAAGTACAAGATATACTAACGTCGACCCCTCCCCCTCCCCCCCTCCTCCTCCCAAGTGGTAGGCATCAAGGTCCAAGGTGTGCGGTGCACAGAAGTAGTTGTGCCCCGTGGCTACTTCTCAACAATGTCACCATTGATAAAGTCATGGGGCCTTGGTTCCATATGGGAAGGGGGAGAGTATTTTTGGCATCTCTTTATTCTAAAACTGACTCCTAATGCAGCATCCGCGTTAAGCCACATCACCACTTTAAAAAGAACAGTCGTCGGATTATATCGAGAATTAATCAAGTCAGTTAGATCTTATGGGTTGGGGCCTACGAACAACATGTCCTTTGATTAAAAGACACATTTGTTGGTGAAGATGTCCCTTGTTTAAAATATATCTACTCATGGGACACGACCATTGATGAAAAGATGTCCCTTCGTGGAGAGGCGTTTCTCTTGGTGAAATGATACCTCTTCGTGGAAAGACATTAGGAAAGAATCAAAAGAAGCAGAACGATTGTTGGATTAACACGTCACAAAATTCAGGTTGTAACTTCACGAATGATGCTACCACTGAAATTGCCTTAGCTGTGCCAAAGTTTAACATTTTCATTTGTTTATGCACTTAAACAATGATTGAAATTTGTGAGTATGCTTAAAAATATATTCAAATTTCATATACACGCATTTTAAAATAAACTTGTCCGCAGCAAAGCGCAGGCTTCACACTAGTTAGATCCTCAAGCTGTCGTCTAATCTTGAAATTAAATGCGATTGTGATATAACATGCAAAGGTGTGCAGGATAGGGACCTGTGATATGATCATACCACTTTAGGGAACTATATGCAAATCCTCTCCGTAAGAAATGTCTTGACATCAAATTTATGCCTTGTTCCATGTAAGGGAGCTCCTGCTTGCTTGCACCTATACTTTATGGACATTCAAATCTAGCTATCTTAGCAAAGGAAGTGACATTCAAATCTACCGGTTTTTCTTCTTCAGCCTTCTCACCCAGCGTTGTCATTGACACGTTTTTGCGGTCCCTGTTTTTGAGATCCTCAATGACTACCACCAGAAAGGGAATGTGCCTACCATTCTTATTTGAGATAAGTGTCTCCACTATAGCACTAACGATCCTAGACAACAGAGCAAGCTTGATTGGAGCTATGATCTATTTATAAAGGATCCCTTCCACTCTTGTGTGGAAAGATCCTTCTTCGTTCAGTCCAGTCTGATTTAAAACGTTTCGTAGTATTTAAAGGGGCTGTTGTTAGGGCCATTCCTTATTATACCGGCAGATGACAGTTATCTGTATTTAGAAATGATAAAGAATATGGGTGTGATTGTTATCACAATGGAGTGATTGAGTAATCAGCCCTGTAGGTTCCTCTCTATTTAGATAGACCCCATCGACATGGCCATTCCCTTCTCCTGGTAGCAAAAACCCATTAGAGGTCTGATTCTCAAAAGAAAACAGACCAGAAACTCGAAACTGTTCCTACTTGCCACGTGGCTTCATCAATATTAGTTTAAAAGTAGGAAAAAAGGTGTCAAAAGTAGAAGTATCATAAATTCTTAAGGCGTCCAACTGCTGCAATCTTCTCAAGATCTGTTTGTTGCAGGGTTTGGCTTTGCTGAGGTTGCAAAAGCACGTGCAAGTGCAAGTAAAGTTGTTTGTTGCCACTTCTCATCCGATGGCAAATTGCTTGCTACTGGTGGTCATGATAAAAAGGTGTGGCTGTTGATGCAGAAGTAGCTATATTCTACCGTTGTCAGAAAACCTTCAATCACACACCTGCTCCTCTGCAGGTTCTTTTATGGTGTACAGATCCCCTGAAGCCTAAATCCTCGTTAGAAGAGCATTCATTTTTGATAACCGATGTTCGATTTAGCCCAAGCATGTCCCGCCTTGCTACATCTTCCTTTGACAAAACCGTACGGGTTTGGGATGCTGACAATGTATACTCCTTAGCATCTGTTTCCTCCTTTGTATACTCCTTAGCATTTGTTTCCTCCTTTCAATGTATTTGTCGTATGAAGATATTGCATTAGAAACTGCTGCAATCTTAGTTTGTTGTGACTAACTGATTTGACTGTGCAGACTGACTATTCGCTCCGTACTTTCACGGGTCATTCAGCATCTGTGATGTCACTTGATTTTCACCCCAATAAAGAAGATATTATTTGCTCCTGTGATAGTGATGGGGAAGTCCGCAGTTGGAGCATTAACAATGGTAGCTGCCTGACCTGTGTCAAGGTTTTTAAGGTATTTGTCTATTCAGTTCTGATTTTCACATACCGCACAATTTTCTGCTCAAACAATTATTTTTTTGATGGTTTTCTCTCATATTGTTATCTTCGCAGGGAGGTGCCACTCAGATGAGATTTCAACCCCGCAAAGGAAAATATCTAGCAGCTGCATCAGAGAAGGCTATCTACATACTTGATGGGGAGACACAGCATGCTTGTAGAAGCCCTTTACAGGTTTGTTACCAAAAGATCAGCTACAAAATTTGCTGAGAGCATTTAAGAACGCATTTACATCTGTCTCATAAGAGCATCTCCAAAAAACGATTATAGGGTAGGAGAGAGAAGGTTTTTGGGCATCGTGGCTGTTGTTGCTTTTCCAGATGACAAAAAATTGGAAAGCAAATGAAACATGAGATCCAATGGTGGGGAGGCGGAGCTGACGGCTGCCGGGAGCCGAGCTTGACTTCGACCGGCGGAGGTTGCCGGGGCCGAGATGGTCGCCGGGCCGCCTAGGACAGGAGACGGGAGGCACCAGGAGCCGGGGGGAGCGGCCAACTCCGGCGTTGGCGCGCCGAAAGCTTCGAAAGGGTCTGGCAGCTTGGCGGTGGTCTGGCCGCTTGATTGGAGGTCGCCCGGCTGCTAATCGACCTCGGCGGCCAATGGTGGAGCGACGGTGACAATCTCCGGTGGTGGAGGTGGCGGGAGGAATGGTCAGAATCGGTGGCAGCGGCTGGGGTCGTGGCGGTTATCTTGGCCGACGAGAATGAGCGGTGGGGTGGCTCTGGGGCTGGGACTCCGTTGCGGGACTGGCGGCGAGAATATGTCGGAACCGGGCGATGGTCAGGCGACGGGGAAGTTTCAGCGTGGCAGTTAGGTTCCCGCTGCAGTGTTTTGGTATTGGACAGCCGGTAGAGGTTTTTGGGCAGCACTTGGGGCTGAAGTTTTGGGCTGCCCACAATTTTTTGCATCATCAAATAGAGATACATCATCTGCTGGAGCTGGTTCTTTGGCCCAAAGTGCCCCAAACGGCAGTTGTTTGGGCACTGGCTGTTTTTCATCAGCTGTTGTAGAACTCATTACTGTGCAAGTTATGCTGTGCCATGTCTTTAGTTTCTGCAGTAGTAAAAGCATACCAATTGTCTAAGATAGCAGTGGACAAAGAAGGTTCACTATATGCTCTTGGCACTAGGAGGCTTTAATCAGTAGATTTGACGAAACCGAAATATGTTTACACCTTTCTGTAGAATTGTGTTCCTTGGTCCAAGAGTTTCCATTTGACCTGCTAGGTAACAAACGGAGCATGGTAGTGTCCATTAGGTAGACACTGCATGATCAGACCAGTGCACCCAGAATAAGTTCCTCTTTGCTAATAATCATCTCCTATACTCCCTCCGTTCGGAATTACTTGTCTCGAATATGGATGTATCTAGGATTAAAATACGTCTAGATACATCCATTTCCGCGACAAGTCTGAACGGAGGGAGTATATATCAAAGGCATCAAAGATTATGATTCAAATGGTATTTCTTCTAGGGATTTTATGAACCTTAATTATGTTAAGTCGTATGTTTCTTCCATCTCAAAAAAGAAGTTGCAAGTATCTTGTGGTCCAGTGGTGGTGGATTTTTGAGTGGGAAGTTCTGTTCATGTATGCAGGGTCATACAAAGGACATTCAGTCAGTTTGTTGGGACTCTGCGGGTGACTATCTTGCTTCTGTTAGTGAAGATGCTGTCAGAATATGGTCATTTACTTCTGGGCAGGATGGTGAATTTGTGAATGAGTTGAACTGCAGTGGGAACAAGTTTCAAACATGTGTTTTCCATCCAGCTCACCCTTCTTTGCTAGTCATTGGTTGTTATGAGGTAAGTTTCGAAAGTGCCCTTTGAATCCTGAGCCCAAATGCCCCTCTATGAACAGGAAAAAAATAAATAGAAAATTAATTGAATTTGGGCTTGATCTTAGTCTTCTTCCTTCATGCACATTTTGGTGATGAAGTCACATTCGTGGAGGTCTGGGCAAAAATAACAAAATAGCACTCTAAAATGCTTTAAAAAATAGTCCTTTTGGAGCATCAATTTTGTTTTTTTCACCTAGCGCAGTAGAAATGCTTTTTCAACTTGACTGTTCATGAGGGTGCATTTGAGCTTAAGTGAAGAAATTCCATTTTGTGAGCATGCTGATAGTGTGTGTTGCTATACTCTGCGGTGCAGTCCTTGGAACTTTGGGACATCAGGGAGAAGAATGCCATGACCTTGAACAATGCTCATGACGGTTTAATTGCAGCCCTAGCAGCATCGAGCGCAACAGGCAAGGTTGCCTCAGTTAGTCATGACAGGCTTGTCAAGCTCTGGAAATGACTTGTAAAATAGTGACTGTTGTTTGTCGACTTTTACATTCTGTTGCTAGATTTTATAGAGAACAGGATGGTTCAGATAACCACATGACAAGGAGGTACTATCTAACAAAAGGCAGGTTTGCGATTTGTGGTTGTCTTAGTTGTATCTTGTATGCTGCTTCTCATGTTTGTAACTCGTTATAGAATGGGCTGTTTGCCTGCTGTTACAATGAGGACTTTGTGCTGATTAAAAGTTACAGAACTACCCTTGCCGTCTCATGTATGCCCTTTTGGAAGTCACCGTCCTGAAGCCCTGTATCGATTAAGAAAAACCGAGTAAAAATTAAGGCTGTCGAAGTGTTGCGTGATAGGCCAGGCTGTCGAAGTGTTGCGTGATAGGCCGCAACGTATGGGTCGAGAGCAAGGTAGCTTTGATTTTGCTGACAAGTAGGAAGTCGCAATGCTTGCGCCGACCTAGGGTAGGCCGATGCATCAACTGGAGAGTATGCCTAACGCACGCACGGTACAACAACTTCACTTTCACTAGTCTAGAGACTTGGACCATGTTGTGTGGGGCTAGTAGTTTTGGTGCCCCATGCCTTTCCCTAAGAAAAAGCAGCATCGATGGGGCCACGAGCCATCGATCTTCCAGACGGTCCCTCTGACCGCTCTACGTGTTCCCTCCCCACCAATAAAGCGCTGCACACTGGACGCACTCCCATTGGTCCAAAATCCTCACCCCCACTCTACCCACCCGACCACCGCCACCTTTACCCGCAGCAACAACACACGCAAAACCTCAAACTTCGTCCTACAGACATGTGGACCTCATAGCTCGGTCGGGCCCACGTCTCAGTGAGGTGCGCGTGCTTGTACTTGTGGCCGAAGCGAATCACGCCTTTTGCGCTCTCTTGCGTTCTACGGATGGGGCAGCAAGCAAGGGACACGTCGCGCTAGCGCCAGTACAAATCTCTTCTCTTACTGGCTAGTCTGGTACTCCTAGCAGATATTTAATCCGTTTGCGTGCCACGGCAGCCATGGCGAGCGCGCCCAATGGGGTCGCGGCCTTTCACGTGCTGCCGCTGCCCGTCGGGGGCCAGGTGGTGTCGCGAGACCAATCATATCCCGCTCCCACTCGCGACACCTGTGCTCCCTGACGCGTGTCCCTTGCGCGTCCTTGTATAAAACCAACCTGCTTGCCGCCGTGGTCTACTCGCACCGCGCCGAGAAAGTAGCACTCAGCGTAACTGAGACTAGTCGCTGCCGTTCTCTTCTGCTTCCGCCGAGGCGTCTGGTGTATGATGGAGAGGAAGGGAGGGTGCTGCTTGGCGCCGAGGTACGCAGCCGGGGCCCAGGCAGGCCAGGGGTGGCACATGGGAAGGGCCATGCTGAAGTTTAGGCCCATCGCGCCAAAGCCGGCGGTGATGGCGCCTGCGCCGATGCCGGCCGTGCCCGCTGGGAAGGGGAAGGGGAGACGGAAGGCGGTTGCAGGGCCAGGGGGTACCGGGAGGAGGGGACGGAAGCCCAAGAAGCAGGCCACGGTGGCTGCACCGACGACGCAAAAGTTGGACTACGTGCAGGACAAGCCTTTGTCCTCGCCGTCCTCCTCCTCGTCGGGGATGACGTCCGTCGACTCGTCGCCTCCTCCACCCCTGCCGCTCATGCCTGTGCTGCCGGCAGAGGAGGGGTTCGGTGGGGCGGCGCCGGTGGCGAATCTGGCGCCTGCCCACGTTGCCGGACTGGTCCTGCCGCCGCAGGCGCTGCGGCAAGCGGTGTCCTGGGTGACGGTTGAGGACGTCACAGGCATCTGGCGCGACGGCGAGGCGCCGTACGCTGCGGCCTGCGGCGGCGACGAGGCCCCAACGTTCGTGTCCGACCAGTGCGGCCGCGTCACGTGGACAAACGTGGCTTTCAACCGGGCAGTGTCCGGTAGGGAGGACGTAGACGCAGCCATGGCCCCGTCGGCGGCCGCTTCCGAGGTGCGGGTGGTGCTCGCCGCCAAGGATGGCGCCCCCGTGCCGGCGTGGGGCTCCTGTGCCGGTTTCACCTGTCGGGTGCGCGTCCCGTACGCATGCCCTCGCCGAGGTTCCCTCGTGGCCCCGTGCGACGTGTGGCGGCTAGACGCTGGTGGCTACCTCTGGCGGCTCGACCTTCAGGCCACCCTCAGCCTCTCCCTCGGCGGCTTCATTTGACTGCGTACGCATTCCATGTACGGAGACGTATGAACCAATCAAAATCATGTGTTAGTCTGCGCTATGATTATGGTATTGATTTAGCGGTCATGACTCATTACCGGATTTGGTATACTCTTATTATGAACTGAACTGTAGAGTAGTTTAAGAAGAGGGGTAGAGATGCAAGTGCAAAAGATTTCTTTCTAACAATGGTAGGGTCCGAGGACTCATATGGACACAGATCCCTTGACGTACTCTAGGTGCCATTGGTCCACTGACATGTCGGCCCAGGATCCTCGTAGCAAAGCTATATAAGGCTGGCCATAGCGGGGTAACATAACTAGTACTCCCTCCGTTCGGGAAAAGTTGTCCCTGACGACATTTTGCGAAAATCACCTCCTCTTTCTCCCGACAAACTACGCAGCCCTCCCTCCGTCTGCTTCTCTGCTCCGTCGCCTCGCCACGCGCCGGCCGCCTGCTCCGTCGCCTGGCCGCCTGCTCCGTCGCCTCGCCGCATGTCGGCCGCCTTCTCCCCCTCGTCTCGCTGCTTCTCTGCGTCCGCACTAGGAGATCAAGAGGGAAGGATCTCCTTTTCTGTAAAGCTCGTGCCTTGCCGGCTGCGTCGGCGGCGCTCGATGACCCGCTCCTCGTTCTCGAGCACCCCCTCCAGACCTCGAGCTCCGGCGGCGGCGCTCGATGGCCCGCTCCTCGTCCTCGAGCACCTCCTCCAGACCTCGAGCTCCGGCGGCGGTGGCATGGGAAAGACGACCAGGGCATGGGGAAGACGAAGACTTGCTCCAGCAGCTCATCTTGCTCCTCGAGCTGGTGGGCTGATGATGGAGGACCTGCACTCTTGGCTCCACCAGCGCCGCCGCTGCCGCTTCTGCTTCTGCTCCCCGCTCGCCCACAGCGCAAGTCTGTCTTCTGAATTTACAGGTGATGTCTGTCTGTTGAAGCAAGCAGGTGAGCTGATTTTTTGCAGCGATTGGTTTGTGCAGAGATTGGAGGAGGAATGGAGTATTGCAGAGGAATGGATGCTGCTTCTTTTGGTGCAGGTGAGCCATGTATATGGAGTACGAGTATAGTACTGACAAATTTCAGTTAGCCATGGAGATGGAGTACAGTAGATGAACATACAGTATAGATTCAGTTAGCCTTGCACTTTGCATGCTTCCAGTATTGGTGAACATACAGTAGATAAACATACATTATAAATTCAGTATAAACAGTATTGGTGATAATTGAGTTCAGTTGGTGACAAAGTCACTACTTTGTGTACACATTGCCAGAATTTAACTTGGAGTACAGTCACTACATTGCTTCTCTGCTTACAAAATTCAGATTGAATTTCACTATCAAAAGAAAAGAAGTGGAGATTAAATGCACAAGCACTTCAATTGTGTGCTTAGTAAAATTACCAAGTTCAGTAAAATTCAGTCTATGAATTCAGTTTACTGTGTGCTCAATTGTGTGCATCACTGGGACAGTTTACTGTTCATGAATTGGAGTAGATCTCTGCTTACATGTTTTAGGTAGCATCATCCATGGATGCATTCACTATTTCAATCAACTCCTGTAGATTGGGTTCAGTACAAAATTCAGTTAACTCCTATAGAAAAGAGAGATTCCAACTTAATCAATTTAATTCAGTAGAATTTTTTTTCACCTAGTCCCCCTGTTTCCAGGTCAAAATTGAATGTTGACAGTAGTAGTAAGAGTAGAAGAAGAATAATTCCAAATAAACTCAAATAAAGTTAGTCAAAAGTGACTATACAAAAATTTAGTCACAAGTTTGCTTTAGTATATGCAATTCGTAATGTTAACTAATTCAAATAAGCTAAGATCAATACAGAACATGCCAATTATTGATGCTTATTTTTGTTTTCCTCTCTGTAGGAGCAGATTTGCTCCTGATCTTTATTCTACAGGAGCAACTTCTTGTTAGTCCTTGTAGTATCCCTGTTGACATTATTCCAAATAAATTCAATAAAATAAAAATTCAGTCACTAGTGATGGATTTTGCTCAGTAAAATTAACAAGTTCAGTAAACTCAGTCGAAAATTGACAGCAAACTGTTAAGACATCCACATTTTGTTATTTTGGTTAACTGAAAACAAAAGCTATGTGATGCAGGTTTGCATGTGAAGACCTTCACCCTGCGCTCATCATGTAAGCCACTTTGTAATCTTATTGTGTTGTCTTTTCTCTATCTTTCTGTCAGGAAGGATTTGGGAATGTTTTCAGAGATGTTTTCCTTCTCTCATTTTAGACCATGATCATTTTAATGCTACAATTTAGAAACAAGGAAATTTAGTTGATGGAAGCACATTCCATGAACATCAAGGAAATTTTAGTAAACTGCAGTAGGATTTTCCAAGTTAGTGCTTGCAAAATTTGTCACTGTCAACTGAAACATGAGTGTATGTTTTCATTTTCCAAACTAGTGCTTGCAAAATTTGCAAGCATTGTTATTTTATTTTATTTCTTTGTACAATATGGCAGTAGAGACCATGGCAGTAGAGACCATAACAGTAGTGACCATGACAGTACTGAACATATACTCCCCTGAATTTTTTATGCTCCTACTCCACTTTATGAGTTTTTTTAAACTGCCAAATGACAATTTACTGAAGATGCAGAGAAGATGCTAGTAGTATCTCTCACAAGTTAACTTAATCTTGGAAAGTTCACTTTATGTGCTCACATTCGATCGTGTGTAATAGTTCTACGAAGGTAATCTTGTAGAGAATAGGCTTAACAACCCTGCTTTTATACATAGTTTATTTTTATGCTCAATAGACCAGCAACATGACTCTACTTCTGTATGTTGTGTAATTAATTAACCCAGAGTAAGAATCTTGGAAAGTTGGAAGGCCTATCTGCATGAAGAAAAACTACAAATGAATGCCCACCATTTTGAAAGCTTTTCCTCCTGTGGGTGCTCTGACAGCTCAAAAAAAAAGTGATGACATATTAAATTCCTGAATAATGTTCTTTTATCTTGAGGAAATTGACAGGAACAGTAGATCAGAAATTGCTTCTACTCTAGGTGAGGTTCAGAAATTATCCAAAGATTCAGTTAACTTTTGTTAATATTCAGTTAACTGATGAACTTTGGACATTGAGGGACACATTCAGTTAACTTCTGTGTTAACTGAATCCTTTTTGCAACATTTCTGCAGAGTACTCTCACCGGCAGCATGATCAATTGTGTTTGAAATTAATGAACAAATGCAAGGATCAGAAATTGGAGCTTCTTCTCAGCGGCAGCAGCACAAGTAGGGTAGCTCCGGGCAGCAGCACGAGCAGGGCCGCCTGGGAGCAGCAGCAACTTGCAGACGAGCAGCAGGTCGAGGAGAGGAGTGGGGGAGACGACAGGGGCCTCGAGGTTGAGGATGAGCTTCCATTCCAGGCCCGCCGGGAGCTCTAGGTCTAGGCGCTTGAGACCCAGGCGCGCGCAGGTCCTGGCGGCGGCGCAGGCCCTGGCTGGCGGGAGGGGATAGCGGCGCAGCCCTGGGCGGCGGAAGGGGTGACGGCGGGAGAGGATGGCGGCGGTGCAGCGCCATTAAGCCGTGGAGCCGCCGCCCGTCAAGGTGGTCGCCGCGGAGGAGCAGGTGGACGGCGCAGCTCGCCTCGGGCGGCGCAGGTGGGCGCGGGCGGCGTTGGTTCACAGCGGTGGTGCGGCTCGCCTCGGGTGGCGTAGGTGGGCACGGGCAGCGGTGGTTCACAGCGGCGACGTACGTCGTCACACGCTCAACCCTACGACGGGTGCCGACGGTGGCTTGGGCGGCGGACGGAGAAAGGAGGAAGAAGCAACCGGGGGCTGATTAGCAAGAGATTTGAAGATGAAAGGTTTTTTTTTGTAAATTTGAAAATGAACTAAGCGCTGGACAACTTTTTCCGGACGGAGAAAGTATCATATACTTGGGATTCGCAAACATGCTTATGTGGCAGGAAATTAAAGAAGAGAGAAGGTCATAGTAATATAGGTAGATACCGTAACATAATAAATGTTATGCTACTATGTGTCATGCATGGCAATAAATGAGACCATCTATGATACTACTTTATGATACTATATACTATGGATGTAGTATCATACATTAGTATCATATGCATGATACTAGTATATGTTACTCCCCATTATGACCAGCCTAAAAGAGCATGATCTCATTTCCTCAAAAGACGTATCTAACTTAACTTTTTTTTCTTAAACAAAGGCAAAAATAAATGTTCATTTTATTGTCATTTTTTTCCATAGTCGCATCTGTTCAAATAGTTTTTGAAATGAAAGTAAAAGATTTGTCTCATTGATTAATTGAGAAGAAAATAATTGCCAATTAAAGAGCCATGTGAAAACCAATGTGAACATCCCACATGCAAACTACACGCCGACACGGCCGACTAGCAACTATTCCCAACACGCAATGATCACACTCTCACAAACTCCCATGCTCAACAAAAACATCTCACGAACACCAACAAATACATCTGATTGATTGAAGACAACAAACACATAGAGAAAGTCAAGCCAAACCAGGAAGAAAATCTAGAAGACTAAGAAGCATCCATTAACACCTTCTTGGCATCATTTTTCTTCCTTTTGCTCCGCCAACACCTTCTTGGCATCATTCTTCTTGCTTTTGCTCGAGCAAATCACAAAGCTCTTTCGTAAAGAGAGCATCAGAATTAGGTGCCAACACACATGCCTCAATTGCCCCATCATTCGCAGACACCGATAGCTGGCTAGGATCCAACGACGATGGTGGGTGCATCGTGGGCACTGTGAGGGCCCTTAGAGAGCCCATCTCCTTAGGAATCACCATTAATAGAGGCAAGTAGGCTTCTCACATAGCACCCGCAGCTCAGGCATAATCTGTAGCACTTGAGCTACGACCTTCACGATGACTGCACTCTCATAAACAGAAGTCACCACAGGCAACGACAACGAGTAAGATCTAGCACGTGGGGAGAAACCTCCATAGTGGAATACTTCCCCTTCATCCGTAGAAACAAAA